AGCCCGGTGCCAAGGCGTCCCTAAGGTTCCGCTTTGGGAGAGGATTGCCATTCAAACTGCGAGGTGCGCGGGGACATACGACCCATTGGGGGTTATATAGGGTTTAGGGTTTAGGGTGGTTTAGGGATTAGGGTTTAGGCATGGAGATATTGGAAAATAAAATGGAAACCACTATATTATAGGGTTATGTAGTGATTATATTGGGGTTATATTGGGAAAATGGAAAACAACATGGAAACTACTATTTACGGTTTAGGGTTTGGGGTTCAGGGATATTACCCTTTTAATGGAGAATCGACAGGGAGAAGAAGTTTTTTACATGAGGTTCTAGGGACGATTAGCTAGGGTTTCGGGTTTACGGCTTGACATGGCTTGACTTAAGGGATTTCAGGTTGGACCCCCCGGTGAGAGCAGCCCTTATAACTCAAAGGGGACAATAGTGCCTATATGCGTTGGGGTGGCTATGTATGGTTTTTTGTTGATGACAATTTGGGTCTTTCCATCAATCGGGGACAGGAATTCATGAAAAGGAGCGTGTTTGACTTCTCCGATACATACCCCGATAGATACCTTGATACATACCTCGATACGTACCCGCATAACGTCTCTTTCGTCAAGGGCCCGGCGCTCCAAAACATACCCCGAAGCATACCCGGAAACATACCCCGAAACATACACCCGAAACATACCCCAATGCAAACATGCCTTCTTGATCGCGGTTCAGCCGGAAGCGCCCAATTTGGGGTCCGACTTTTGGGTCTCAGCTTGAAATCTTCATCCTTAGAATGACGTAGAGGTTGTACTATCTTCTGTGCGAGTAATGAAGGCTTTCCTTAGCCAAGTTTGGAAGTGTATCCAGGGATGGTTTTCGGGTGACAAAACTCTACCTTCTATGAAGCCCTCACGTCTTCTGGTAATCAACAGGAGGTGTCTGAGAGCCATTGATGAGGAACTTGACGTGCTTGATGCATTTTGATACTGTCTCTTATACAACCTGCAAAGTTCTCCCCATAACCCAGTATACTATAGACTATAGTAGTTTCAGTATAACCCAAATTTACTACAGTAGTGTCCATTTCCTTTTCCACTATCCCAGTGTAACTCCAACTTACTATAGTAATATAGTAGTTTCCATTTTCTTTTCCACTATCCCAGTATAACCCCAATATACTATAGTAGTTTGCATTTTCTTTTCCGCTATCCCAGTAAAACCCCAATATACTATAGCAGTTGCCATTTTCTTTTCCATCATCCCAAGCTAACCCCTACAAACCCTACATAACCCCTATATAACCCCTATTATGCCCGCGGTTTCCATTTTCTTTTCCATATAACCCGAATATACCCTAAACCCTAACACCTAAACCCTAATCCTTAAACTCTAAACCCTAAACCCTAAACCCCTAAAAACCCTACAAACCATTAAAGTAGCTTCCATTTTCTTTTCCATTATCCCTTTTTTAACCCCAATAGAACCCTACAAAACCCCTATAATCCCTGTAGTTTCCATTTTCTTTTCCATTATCCCTATATACCCTAAACCCT